AGGCAAAATTTCTGTGGAAAAAAACCCCTCAAAAAAAAAAAAAAAAAAAAAAAAGAAAGAAAGAAAGAAAAATAAAAAGTAAATCTATAAAAGTAGGGGCCTTGGAGAAATTTCAAAGATGATTATGCCCAGAGGAACTAAAATATTAGTCATACCTGACAAATGGAGACTCTGTTAAGCCCAAAATGAAGGTGGCAAGTCCATTAATAGGCCATATTGTAAAAACCTTTAGAAATTGTCTTCTTGAGGATCCTATATTATCCTCATGCTATGGATCAAGCCACAAAAACCTACAATTTTTCTTAACCCAGTGAAAAACATAAAAGGGAAAAGGAATTTGGAGTCTTGACTGAAATATCCTTAATGCAATAAGCTCTGACAGGGAAGGGACCACACACGCTTGTCTCATGCAGCACACAGTGAAGGATCTCTAAATATGTTAAAATAAATAACTCCATGACTAACCCCTGTAGATATACGTGGCTAAGGATAATTAAGTTGATGTTCAATTAATTTTTTGTTTGCTTGTATCTTAAGGCATGATCTTGCTCTGTAGTGCAGAAAGCCCTCAGACTTCCTGTATAGTCCAAGCTGGCCTCAAACTAGTCGTTTTCCTGCCTTGGCCTCCTCAGTGCTGGGATTATTGGCATGTGCCACCAAGCTCAGCTAAGTCATATACATTGAAGCCCAGCTAGAAAATGTACTGAGACCCCTCCTGTTTAAACAAAACAACAACAACAACAAACCTCTTAATCTTTAATTTGCAACTCCAAAGTTCACATACTCAGGAAGTTTCCAGTGACATCATCTTTACCTGTCCCAGCCCCTCTTCCCATACCAGATTTTCTTGTAGTAATTTTCCTGTTTCTCCTTTTGTTTGTCACTTATCACATTTGTAATCCTGTGCAGGTGTGTGTGTGTGTGTGTGTACACGTGCGCGGTACTGAAGACTGAACCTAGGGTTGAGCTACATTCCAGCCCTTTTAAAATCTGAGACAGGGTCTTGCAAAGTCACTTAATTGCCCAGGCTGGGCTTGAACTTGTAGTCCATCCTTATTTAATTCATCTGTCTCCCTTATTGAACCTTTGGCACCCTTCAAAAACATACCATACTTCATTCTGCCCACAACTAAATCTCCAGCAGACACTGAACATTCAATTAAAAATCGCTTTTGAATGAATGCTATTTGTAGGTAACTTTTCGAGCCCCAAGGAACAGAGTCATAGCTGCATTCCCACTAAGGCAGTGTGCGGCTGGGGCCGAAGAAAGAGTCCAGCTCTCTTGAGTTAGATTTGCAGATTTCCAATTGCAACACGTACCGATAACCTCAGGCAGTTCTTTTCATCATTGGGCCTCAGTTCTCCAATTTGGAATAGGAGCATGCCATCCATTCATCTACCATATAGGGTAGCTTTAGAAATCCTTAAAGAAGATAATACATACCAGGTAGGCGTTTAGCGCAATGCTGGGACACGGAAGGAGTCTAAATTTTATTACTTAACGACTTTTGTCATAGAACACCTCAATAAATGCCCTATCAAAGAAGAAAGACTTAAGCCACGGACCAGCGGCGTCGGTGGGTCCCTGCTTTCACGAAGCCCAAAGGAAAGAAAGCAAGCGAAACAAACACACAACTCGACTCTCCGGTGCGGCGGAGGGAGATGAGCCAGGTAGAAACAATCCCGTGGGAGAGGACAGGAGAAAGGGTCGCAGTGGACCTCGCAGAGACGACACCTGAGAAGGCTTTTTAATCAAGGACGGATGGAACGAGAGAGATACCAATCCACTCTCCCCTTCTGGCTCAAGTAAAAGCCCTCGCCGGGGCCTGTCCCTGGCGTGTCCTTCGTGAAGGCGAAGCCCCGGGCCCAGACCAGGCTATAGGGAAAGCGACGCGGCCGCGGGACTCACCGACCGCGCTGAAGCCGAAGCCAACCGGGACGGGCGAGTGTTCCGCGAGCTCCAATCGGATGACAATCAGTGACACACTCATAGGGCAGGCGCTGGCCGGCGTAGGCCCCGGCGGGCTCAGGGGAGGTTGGGAGCCGAGCTGAGAGGCCGAGCAGCCCGGGGCGGGCAGCGCCGCCACCGCCTCGTCGCCACCGCCGCCGCCTCAGCAGCAGCGGTTCGCACAGTCCCCAGATCCACAACCACCTCCACTTCCGTCTCCAGGCCCCTGTCGCTGACCCCCGGGGTCACGCATGCGCACAGCAGCACGCGCGCTGATTGGCGGAGCGGCTCAGAGAGACCTGAGACCTTCCGGGAGCGGGCCGAAGAGTAAGTTGCAGCAATGTGTGAGACTCTCCTTAGGAGACGGGGTGGTCCTTCTGCCCCCGGCTGAGTTAGATTCTTCCTGCGGGAGAAGCTTCGTTCTCGCTCCACCTCGGCAGAGGGCTCAGGGTGCCCGGCTCGACGAGATTGTACGAGGAGTCTGCTCTGTGCCGAGGGCTTTTGCCTATTGTTATTTTCGACCTCTCGCTCCAGCCGTAGGAGGGGTTGCTTTGTGTCAGGCCCTCTTTACAAATACCTAGGTACTCTGAGTCTCTGAGAAGTGAAGTTGTTTCCCTGACGGCTCATGGAGACTCGATTGCAGGGTTTCTGACGCTGGTAAGGTAGGGCGGTGAGCTGGTTAAAAGCATAGAGCTACACATAGTTTGGGATCCTACTTCGCGTCTCACTTCAAAAATGTTTACTTAGGTCTCAGGGTGGTTGGGGTACGTGGGTGAAGAGAGTAAACACACTTTCTGCTTTTATGCAGTTGACCTTCATCCCGTTAATCGATTTGTTTGTCTTTTTGTTTGTTTTTAAATAGAATCTTTCTAAGTCAGTAAATTGCCCGGCTGGGCTCAAACTTTCTATCGTCCTGCCTCCGCTTCCCAGAATGCTGGGATTACAGGCATGCACCACCATGCCTGACTAATCAGTTGTGTAATCTTGAATTAGTCGTTGTATAAAGATGGTATAATATCATATCGTAGTTGTAAGGATGAAATGAAATGTGTACAGAGATAATGGTAACATTCTTCCCAGCATGTTACACTGCCTTTGTCATATGATGGAAGCCACAACCAATGCATATGTGGCACAGAATTACACGATGCTATTCTGTGTATATGCTATGACATATAAGATGGGTCAGTACATCCTAGGCAGGTATGGGCTATATGGACTATATATGTATAACGTGACCACATGAAATATCTATATACACAGCTTCTGACTGTGCCCTGTGGAATACATTCATACTCTTGTTTATATCAGCGTTTTTCCTTTTGGTACCGGGGATTGAGCTCGGGTCCTTGCGCTTGCAAGGCAGGCCACCGAACCGCTGAGCTAAATCCCTGGCCCTATATCAACGTTTTTCTACCTTTGTGTTGTTGACATTTTAGGTCCTAATAATTCTTTGAGGATTTGTGAATGTGTGTCCTGTGCATATTAGGGTCTTTAGAAGCATCTGTGGCTTGACCCACTAGACACCAGTAGCACTCACTAGTGACCTTCAGAATTGTGTCCAGATGTTACCAGGGCCCTAGTCACCACCTGATAAGGAACTTTGGTTTATGTGAAAGTGCATGAGCCATACACACATAGTATATACACATAACATATGACGCTTAATGTGAACCTTTTGAGCTACATTACAGTACTAGATAGCTTTTTTTTTTTTTTTTTGGTACCGAGGATCAAACTCAGGTCCTTGTGCTTGCAAGGCAGGCAGCAGAACCACTGAGCTAAATCCCCGGCCTAGATAACTTTTTTTAGTGATGCTGGAGTCTTGCGCATGCCACTGAGGCTTGCACCCAGCCCAAGTGGTAGATAACATTTAATGTTGTGCCAGATGCTAACTTGGGTGCTTTCCATACTTTTCTGTGCAGTGATAACAACACCTTTATGTGCACATTTAACAGAGGAGGAACCTGAGGCTTAGAGTAGAGTGCCCAGGATCTCAAATTTAGAGATAGTTAAAATTTGAATCCAGGCAATCCTACTCGAGACCCAAAACTATCCATCTCTTCACTAAATCATCTCCTTAGCATATAATAACACATACTGTGTATGAATCTAGAAGCATAATTTAGGGAACAAATTTACATTATGTTAATCTCATTCTGAATGGCAAGGAGAAGACAAATAGATTTTGTGGTTTAGCAATGCTAGTTCCAGAGAGTTGGAATTGTTGGACGTTACAGCTCTTTGTGGCTGTCAACTCCTTCACAGGCAGTTAGACTTGAAAACAGTTACAGGGTAATTAGGTAAGTACTCTATTGAAGATATGGAGACATAAAAAAATGATTGCTGTCATCTGCTTAGAAAAGGAAAAGAAAAAGCTAGACTGATTCTGTAGAAGAGATAAAAAGGCTTGTGCATACTAGGCAAAAGGCTGCGATGTGAAAGTGAATGGAAATTCACCAGGCAGATAAAACAGGGAAAAGTGTTCTAGTTCATGAGCTTAGCAAGTAACAAGGCCTGAGGGGTGAGAGGTTACATCGTTTTCCTGGTCTGAAGAGAATGTTGGCAAGTGGCTTGAACAGAGCTGTCATCTGTAGGGGAAGGAATAAGCACGCTGCTGGTGGGAGCATTGCCCACATATCCATTAGCTGGGAGAATGGAAGATGGTGACCTCAATAGGATTAAAGATGGTCTTTCAGGCCTCCAAGAGTATCTCTCTTAAGCCTCACACAAGATGTGTTGATGTTTTTATAACACGATAAATATATTTCTCTTCATAGCATAAACTTTGGTATTGGCATAGAAGTGTAAATCAACTTCAGACTTTTTTATTTCAAAATTTACTCACAAATACAGCAAATAACCCATTATCTGAGAAGCACATCATAAGATTTTTAAGATTTACTGCTCAAAATTCTTAACCTTTTTTAAAGGATATTATGCCCTGGATATTACAGATGCTAAGCAACTATCACTGAGCTATACTCCAACCCAAGATTCCTTTCTTTAGATGCTTATTGCGTTTGTTTGTTTGTTTTGAGACAGTTTCACTGTGTAGTCCAGGCTGGCCTTGAACTCACTATGTAGTTCAGGTTGGCCTCAAACTCAAAACCATCCTCCTGTCTCAGCCTCCCAAGTGCTGGGATTCTAGGCGTGGGCCCCCACACCTGGCTCCTTATGCAGTTTGGAATGCTTGTGGCAGCACTGAAGTGATTCCGTGAAACTGTGAATAGTCTTACCAACCTTTGTGCTCTAACCTGATTTTTAGAAAATTTTGGTTTTGGTGTTGGGGATTTCAACCTAGGACCTTGCGTATGAGGCACATGATATATCACGGAGCTGCATCCCCACACATTTTTTTAAAACAAGGTCTCCCTTTGTTGACCAGGCTGTTTGCAAATTCCTTTGTTCCAGTGAACCTCCCACCTCAACCTCCCAAGTAGCTGGGACTACTAGGGCATGTCACCACATCGCACTGGAAAGCTTAACTGCAAGACCACATGAAAAGCTCAATGATTTCCGTGAAGAAAATAGAATTTTCCTAATTCATCTTTTCCCTCAGCTTTTAAAAATCTATAGAATTCAAAGAAAGGCCAGTGATCTCCCATATATCTTTCATCTCAGTTGACTACTGACATATTGTCATAGCCGGGCGTGGTGGCACATGCCTGTAATCCCAGCACTCGGGAGGCTGAGGCAGGAGGATTACTGTGAGTTCAGGACCAGCCTGGGCTACATAGTGAGTTATAGGTCAGTCTCAACTACATAGTGAGACCCTGTCTCAACCCCCCCAAAAAAAAGACATTGTCATATTCAGTTTAATCTCTGTACATATTCTTTAGGAATATAGTGTATAGATGTGTGTCTATGTATATGTTTTTTTATGTTGAACTTTTTATTCTTCATTGTAGTACTGGGGATTGAATCCAGGGCCTTATGCATGCAGAGCAAGCATTTTTACCTCAATCTTCCTACATCCTTTTGAAAGTAAGTTTAGAAAAGAGGCAGTGGGGCTGGGAGTAGTGCTATAATCCTAGTACATGGGAGGCTGAGGCAGAAGGATTGCCAGGAGCGAGAGGCCAGTTTAGGCTACAAAGTGAGACCATGCCAAAAAAGGGGGGGGCAGTGGGAAGTTATTAGTTCAAGTCAATGTTCTGTGTGGGGTGGGGATGGGGGGGTTATTATACATGGGATTGAACTCTGCACCTTGTGCTTATGAGGCAGGCGACAGAACCACTGAGCTAAATCCCCACCAAGAGAATATGTTTTGATGGTGTGATGCTGGCATCCAAATACTAGAAGGAGGTAATTCCAGGATATCCTGAGAGTACACAGGACAGATTCCTTATTTGTCTTTTCTAGTAACCAAGAGTGACAGTACAACCCGACCATTTGGAATTAGCCAGGCACCTGGTGCAAAAACATTTCAGGTCAAGAGAACAGCATATCCAAAGACAAGAGAATATTGTGTATATGAGGAAACCGCACATAGATTTGTGTGTCCACATTATCCAGGTTGAGGTGATAAAATAGGGTGAGTTGAGTTGCTAAGAAAGATCTTATTGGAACTTTTAAACCAGATGAAGGACCTGAGGGCCAGGGATTTAGCTTAATGGTTCGGCCACCTGCCTTGCAAGCACAAGGTCCCAAGTTTGATTCCCAGTACCTAAAAATAAAGTAAAACCAAAAACTAATACAGATGAAGGATCATCTTGAGAGCAGTAGGAAGCCCTGGAAGGTTTTAAATGGGGTTAATATGTAATCAGATGTGCAGTTTTTTCATTTTGGTTTGTTTTTTGTTTTTGGTACCAGGAATCAAACTCGGGACCTTGCAAGGCAGGCGGTGGAACCCCTGAGCTAAATCCCTGGCCCTTTCATTTTGCTTTTTGAGGCAGGGCCTTCTGCAATGCGGGCTGGCCTTGAAGTCACTCTGTAGCCCAGGCTGGCCTCAAACTTGCAGTGATCCTCCTGCCTCAGCCTCCTGAGTGCCAGGATCATAGGTGTGTGCTACCACAACTGGCCAGATGTGCAGTTTTGAGTGATTACCCTGGCTGACAACTCAAGAAAGAATTGGAGGGAGGTTTGAGAAGAAGCAAAGACAGAGATGACAACAGTGAGAAAAGAAAGTAGTAGGTGAGCTGGGGATGTAGTTCAGTGGTGCCTCTCCAGCCTCGCGAGCACAGTCCTCAGTTTGATTCCCAGTACCAAAAA